AACCACGTAAAGATATGACTATTAAGAAGTAGAGAAAAACAAAGAGTCACTTGAGACGATCAGAATTTAACTTGTTTTAAAAACAATCCCAGACAAGATACTCAGTGGGAGGGAAATATATATTTTAAAAAATCTAGAAATATCATGAATATGCTACCAAATGTGAAGGTAAAATGCAGCTTCACTGAATTTTAGCATGACAGAGGAGCAAAAAGAAACAAATGAAGACCATCTGGAGGATGTGTCCTATCACAAAACAAGGAAGCCAGAATCCCTCTTAGTGCAATCAAGTGCCAACTTTCAGTTTGAAACATACTATGAACCAAAAAATGCATATAAATAAAATGACTGATAGGCAGGAAAGAACAGTAAAATACTGAATAAGATAAACTAGAATTACTGATTAGCAAATACAGATTACCTGAAAACAAGTACATGATTACACATTTTTTTCTCTTTCACAGACATATTCTGAAGCCTTTACATCTTCTACAATACTGGTGGCTCTCAACAATTTTGAGTCATTGATGGCTAAGAATGAATTCATTCTCATGAACCTTCAAAGCCAAAACATGAAACACAGCAAACACAGACCACAGGAGTATCGCTTGGTTTGCCTAATTCAAAATACAATCCCCAAAAGGTAGTACTAGACAGCAGCAAAACTGGAGGCACCAATTGCTGCATAATCTCCAATCAGCTGAAAGCTCATCTGGGAATTGGAAAGAGGACAGGGTCAGGACTTTTCTGAGAATTGTGTGTGCAACAGCTATAATTCTTCAGGGATGATAAACATTAAAGCTAACTTTGCTTTAAGCAACAGGTTGGACCAGACAACCTCCCGAGGTCTCTTCCAACCTAAATTATCCTATGATTATATACCATAGCAAACACTTAAAGCTGAAAATCCTGAAAATATTTTGTAACCTCATTTATAAAGCTTTGCCACAGAATTATTAATTTTTGAAACAGAATCTTCTCCCAGAGGATGAGAACAGGGCAGCAATCCACAAAATCTAGGACACAGAAGCACAGTGGGTATGAACTTGTCCTAGTTAAGTAATAGAACTGATGAAGTTTGTACATTACCCTTATACCAAGACAACTTACATAATTTAAATATTAATCCAATGGAAGCGACATTTCTATTTGTACAAACAGACCTGAATAACTTACAAAGGATACTAATAGTGAGCGGTGCTATTGGCAGCCATAGAATTCAGGTCACTTGAAAAGTCATCATCCTTGGGATCCAAGCAATGCCAAGAAAGGGAGCCTCAAGGCACGCTAGCAGTATCAGATATATAGATATTGCCCATGCGCTTCAAGAACTGAAAGCATGCTGGCGTAAACTTCTCCATTCTCTCTACCTGCCTTTTGTCTCTCTATGTGACCCGGAGAATAAGGAAGATATAACATTTGTTTATAAGAAGTTTTTCCACCAAGTAAAAGGAAATGGGTGATAATGCAAAGTCTCTGCAGGAAGGGTTCCAAAGGTAAATGGCTAAAAGAGAAGCAAGAGATCCTTTGTAATTTCGGCCTCCAAAGATAAATTGGAGTAAGATTGATGATCTAAGCAATTGAGACAACTGCCTCATTACAAGGCAAGGTAATGTGTTTAGGGAGAAGGACAACTGGAGGAAATGTAGACATGCAAATTTTTCTAGATTAAAAAAAAAAAAAAAAAGGACATCTGTCAAACTGATACAGTCTTTCCCATACTAGCTACTATGAAGAAAATTAACTCTATCCCAGCCAAAACCAGCACAAGAGACACTGGGGGAAAATTAGAAAATGAAAATTTTTTTAATTAAAAAAAAAAAAAAAAAAGGACATCTGTCAAACTGATACAGTCTTTCCCATACTAGCTACTATGAAGAAAATTAACTCTATCCCAGCCAAAACCAGCACAAGATGGAAAAATGAGAGAGAGCATTGCTCTCTCTTCCTACTAAGAGTAACACCACCTGAGCTACTACGCAGGCTTCTCTAAAGACCCCATTAATTTATTTCTGCTTATTTTATTTGAGAGTAAACAGAGATAACATTCAGTTAGTTCTGGTCTAGTGGCTTGTAATGCATTTTCAGGATAGGAAAGAAGAATCACATCCTAAACTCAGTGGCATTTTACAACAAAGAGATAAGTTTTAGATGCTATTAAACAATTTTGTCACTTTCAAAAAATGTTAGAAGGATAATTTTGCCTGATGTTCCTTTAGAGGGAAAATTATGGTTTCGGTGGATGTATAGACTTATACCAGCACCTAGAGGTCACTAACAGACCTTAATGGTTCCTCCTCTGGGACCTCCACACACATCTTTAGTCCTGTGTCTTCAGTCTCCTGCCACGGACCTGCCCAGCAATCACTAGAGCTGACCCTGACCTGTGGACTGACTTCCCAGCTTGGCCTTGGACCTGCCTCTTTGCCATGGACTTACTTGCCTGATGGTCTGCACCCTTGGCTGAGCCTGGCCTCAACCTCTGGGCCTGCCCTCCTCCCTTGCAGTGGGGCTGGGCTCTGCCTGGCCATCACATGTTCTCCCCCTCTATTGCTGGTGGCTCCCATCCCTCACTGCTCCCGGACAGCCAATTAATTATTTCCTCCAGTTTTTCCTGTGCTTTCACTGTCTGCACAGGGAAGGGAGAAACTCTGCAAGGAGCTGAAAAAGAAAGGATAGAGCTCTAATAATTTCAAAGACTTGGGACTCAACATGCTCTATAAAAATCACCTGAATTCAAGAGAGCTTTAACTGGATCTTTCATTACCTGAAGGCTTTAATGAATCACACTAAATTGAGTTTGCATTCTGACACAGAAGGTTGTTGCTTACCTTTCAAGAGGAATGGAAAGACTTTGAATTCAAGTGCAGCACTCTAGCAAACCCTTGAAAGCTGCAATTTTATCATTTCTTAAGAGACCCTGACATACATGAAGTCCATCCCTCTGTCCCAAAGGAAGACCAAGAATCCTTATGTTGTGTTTGTTTAGTCTTATCTTAACAAATCCTCCACAATGAAAGTTCAGCAACCTACCCAGGCTATTCTACTGTTTTCCACTTTTAATCTTTCTCATAAAACATGTTTCCATGTTTCTAGATTATTGAACTTTTTATAGACATCTCTGATCTACTGCCTTCTTGAAGACAATACTAGACCTGATGCTCCAACTTACATCTAATGAGCACTAAGTAGTGTTGAAGTTTACTCTGTGTGTCCTAAGTTTCAATATTGCATTACATCGGGGTGGTGAAATGAGAGATGTTTCCTTCCTTTTTACAGTAGGTCAAGCAATTTGACCTTCTTGACCCTTACCCAGTTTGTGGTTCATTGTATTGCTTCCTGTATCTTTCTCTGGAGATCTGCTGCCTACGTAGCCATTTTGCACTTTTACACTTACATGTTATTTATTTTAAAACCTTTCTCTGCTTGTCAAGATCATTCTGAAACCTAATCCTGTCCTCTGCAAAGTGCTTGCAGCTTTTCCCAAGTTGGTATCAACTGCAGATTTAATAAAAATTTTCTCTATCCCACTATCTAGAGAAAACCTTATCTCTTTCTAGAGAAAACCACTTGACAGAATCCCATCCTTCTTGTTTGACGGTGAAGCACTGATAACTACTCTTTGAAATTATAATTCCAAGCCAGAGAAAGATAAAACATATCATACTTTTTGGTGACTTTTTGCTTCAGCATTTGTTTTAAAAAGAAATATTCAACTGATCTGATGTCAATTAACCTTGGTGGCAGGAATATTGGTTAGAGACTGCTCTTACAGTATCTTCCTCAAGATCAAGTTTCCCTACTTTTCTTTAGGAACACCTTTAACATTTTTATAAGTCATAAAACATCACACTTATCACCTACCCCATCTCCTCGAGACCTGTTATCTTGTCATAGAGGGAAATTAGATTGCTTTACATGATTTATTCTTGTCAAATCCATTTTAGCCATTGTTTAGCATCTTTTTATCTTCTGGGTGATTCCAAATAGATTATCTGTTCAAGTGTCCTTCCAGGAATTAAATTTAGCCTGACTGGTCTATAATTCCCTGGGTCTTTATGTGGTTTTTGGAAAGACAGACACAAAGATTTCTTCCCTCCCCCTACAATTCACTTACTTTTTATCCTTTAATTCTCAAAGCTCATAAAGGAATACTCTAAGATTTCTTAAGTACTCCATAGTGAATTAATTGTGCTAGAAAATTTGAAAATATCTGACTCATCTAAGCAGACTCTAACCTGTTCTTACCCCCCTTCACCAGTTTTAATTATGCTAGTCTTCAGAACACAGTCAGCCTTATTTTCAATGAATGCC